GCTGTTATGTGATTCATTTTATAATGATTCTCGGAACAAGGTCACATTTTTTTTGGTTATAATTAGTGGACGTTTTTCGATTTGGAAGGTGCGTACGCACCCCCCCCCCCCGGATAAGGGCCTGAAATTTTATATTTATTGCTAATGAATATTGAAGAAATTATCGTCAACAGCACTAACATATAATCTGCATTAAACCCACTTTTGTATCAGTGGCATGGTAGTACATTCACAACAGAATTAACGCAATTAAAATAGTTAACCCTAAGACAGTAAAAGACAGTAAACGAGATAAAGTAGAACATTGTATAAAACCATCATACATTTTCAAATGCATAGAAACTTTATGACAAACAATTGTTTTCCGTAAAATATTGTACATATTAAAATCATCACAATCACACATTATATAACAGTTTACATGCAAAAATCTAATTTATTTTCTTTTCTAAAAATAATAATTATAAAATTGGCTTTACAACTGATTTGAATTTTTTTCTAAAATAATTTTTTTAAACATAAATGTAGACTTCTCGATACACTTACTATTACTTTTCAAAGGTTCATTTTGCACGAAGTGGTGACATAGGCCTGTTATATTTATTGGTTTGTGCCAGAGATGTAGACAAGCATTCTTCACTTAATCCAAGTTTGTAACATTCCTACCTTTATCCTATTTTACCTTTAATGATAGTTAACATATTGGAGGCATGTTAAGCTTAATTAACTCTGTAAATGAAAGTTATGGTACCGGTATTGCCAGAAACAAAATATTTATTTTGCCGGCTGAAACTCTTTTTCTTATCTCAAGGTTAGGGCTGGAATGCGCCCTCACTTAACACGAAAATACTTTGTTAACGAATAGGTATACTAACGGCTAAATAAACACTGCCTATTAAAAAGAAATGCTATCGTACTTATCCAATATCCACATGCATTTTCTCAGTGTCTTCCATTGTTGTTCAAAACCTTTTTCCAACTTTAATTTTATATAATAAAAGTCTTACAATTTACAATTAAAACAAAAATATATATAATCTAAAAGCCTACTAACAATATTTACATCCTGATCTACTCTATGGAATTTATGAATTATTTATCAACTTATACAAATCTTATTTTCACTAAAGAAATAGGAAGAGTACGATTTTATATTTTTTAATTAAAAAATTCACTATTCTAGTGTCATCTTTGTGATCATAAAAAAACAAAATTTTATAGTATTACTGTAGCTTATTTTATCAAAGTATTTTTTATTGATTTTTCTCAGGAAGTGAGATAATCGACTTATTTTAAATTTGGTTAAGGTCATGTTTTATTTGATTTAACTACTTACAATTATGTTTGTTTACAAATGATCATGACATTTTTACTTTTTAGTTTAGTAGCATCAAGGTATTACACTATTTTCCTCCCATCCCTATAAATTCAATATTTCTAAAGCATACTTTTACACAAAATTTCATAGTATTAGCTTATTTTATCAAAGTATCAAAGTCCTTCATATCTGCATCATGTTTCTCACATCTATTGTACAGTAATTAAATTAAAAAAAAAAAAAAAAAAGTAAGTACATCGAAAATGCAAGAGAAGCAGTCTCACTAAAATATCGTAAAGCTAAAATAATAACTACATTCTATAATAAACATCAGGGAATACCCCTACTATTCAGGGGACACTAAGTTTAGGGGAGACAGTGTTTGTTCCCTTAAAAGGGGTAATGTATTTTTAGAACCAATTAGCCGTTCTAACGGTTTCAGCAGATTCTACTCTTGTTACGCAACAATGTGAAATTAAATGAAAATCGATAGGCCTATGTATCTAAAAACTAAGTACTACATTTTTGGAGTGACCTTTATTCTATTTGTACTTAAGCTCACGGCACATTTTAATGGTTTCAGAAGACAATGGAATGTATATACAATAATTGCTTACGGTATTTTGGCTTGTTGAGAAAATATCTATAATCTTATGATTATAGTATTTGTTCTAAATGTAATTCTTAAGGCTTTGTCAGATTCCATTCCTGTCACTTTTAATGAATTATTCATTGAATAACAGAGTTGTTGCATTATTCCTCATACAGATATCTCTAGGAATTTACCTTTAATGCACAGTGTCTCTAGATTGTCCGTTTCTGTGGACTGGTTGTTACGTACTTCTGATTAAAGTTTACATTTTCCTTTCTTTCAAGGAGTTCTCTTCTGTTACATTTAGTAGATTGGTATCCACGTAGTGTATTTCATTGATCGCTGTGATTTTGATCCGTACTCCTTAACGCCACTCTAAGGAGGAAAGCTTCATTGTAGTTCAGATGAGTATCCATTTAAGTTGTCTAGAATGTATGGTAATACATCACAAATCCACGTAGCGATGTCGACGTGTTTAAACGATTTTCGTACTGTTGTCCCATCTTCCTGATACACTTCATATTTTCCAAATGCTTTCTTATTATTTTTGTCATGCTTCTTTAAATTATTAAAGTCAATGAGAGCAATAAGCATGTTGTATTTTTCTGGTTGTTCCCGAGGTTGAATCTAAAGACAATAATTAAATAGTTGTCATAGAATAAGTAATTCAAAACCGATATTATAGTCAATCATTACATAACATTCTCACAGTCAGTTAACTCCTTTAAGACTAGCTAAAAACTTTCATTGAATTTTATCTTTCAAAATACACTTTTTCACATTTTTGTTTAAAGTAAAATGCAACTATTTGCCATTAATGCTGAATTAATCACTGATGCTTAACCACCAAGCTACATTCACCAGTATTATTTGGAATACGGTTTAAGGGGGGGGGGGTCAAGTTAGATAATTGGTTTATCTCGGTTTTCCTCTTCTAAATCACTTCATTGGATCGAGAAAGGTATTGTTTGTGAACACCTGATTGTGCAACAAGTGATACGTTTAGTATTTCAATGTGAATTTATCAGCTTTTGTAAATTATATAATTGATTACTTTATGTGATTTACAATTAAATTATTCAAATGTATTTAATTGTTAACCGGATGCTGATTATTTGAAAATATTTTTAGAAACCAACATGGCTACCGAGGTAATGGGGGTAAAATTCACCATAACACAATATCAGTGTTTTATCATAGGCGATTTCAAGTGGGGCCCATTCGGCCTTGGCCTCCGCTAACCTTTTTAAAATATAAAAAAAATGTGCGAAAAGAGAAAATTACATTTAAATTTTTAGTCTGAGAGTGCCATGGACATGGTTGGGGCTGAGGTGGTCTGGACCCTTCATCTGTAAAATTGACTTTCAGAGCTCCTTGTATTACAGGGATCCGCCATTGTTTATTTATGACATTTTCTTTATTAAGAAGCCTATTCATGGTTCTTAATTTTACTACGATCACATCTTACCTTAGTTAGAAAGTCAATAAGACCTTCATCAACATCATTCCACTTGTATTCTTCTTTGAGTTTATGTTTAACTTTATCTCTGGTTGGTATCTTTTTAAGAGCGTAATCTGGAGGAATATAGAAGAAATCAGCTTTTGTTGGCTTCGTTTTCTTTCTTTTGGCACATGCTGTCTCTTTACAGTATGTGTGCTGTAGTCTCTTCATCGCGTGATTAAGCAGATTACGAGCGTTCTGAATCACCATGTCAACCTCGTCGTTTGGGTTTTTGTCACGTATGAGTGCTTTTTCTAAATTCAGTTGTCTTCTTCTAAGATTCTCTAGTTCTCCAGCAAATTCTGTTGTTTTGACATTATCCAACTGACGTTGCATTTCACTGTCCTTCTTCTCTTCAAGGAAAAGTTCCATCCTAGCACATGATTTGAAGAAAACAGATTTTTGTTTGTCTAGCCTCTGTAACTCAGTAAGCAGTAGGCGGGCCCCGTCGACGTCGTGTAGATCCACAGCTTTGCCATATTCTTCACATATACGAGCACTTTCTTCATAAGTAATTAATTTGCCTTTTTTAATTGCTAACTTTGCAGTAAGTTCAGTATGCTCCTTTTGGTCTAAAGCCCTAATTTGCTTTAAATATGTATCACACTCAGACAGCTCATTTTTGTCATCGGCAAGATCAATAATCACTTTTACAAGGGTTTTCATAATATCAAGTTTGGACGAACTATCGAGATTCTCCAACCGCAGTGCTGATTGGCAATAACGTCGTGTTAAATATAAGTTAGATAATTCGTACTCTAATTTTACAATACCACGGACCGAAATAATGTCCTTCGGATTGGTTTTCAAATGCTTTCTGAGTTGTACCACGCAATTATTGACTTGACATCCAACATTGCTGTAGAAGGTTTTTCTTTGAGAACTCGTTATAGAAATAATTTGGCAAGAACCAATTGCTGTCTCCAAAGCCGTGCGATAATTCTTGGACGCTTTATCTTTATCGTTTCTCAATAAAGCATCACCACACTCCGAGTAAATTTTAACCAATGATACATTGTCGTTTTCATGTTCATCTATAATGCTCTGGTAATTTTGTTCAATATCACTTGATTCATTACCTGCCACTTGTCTAGCTAATAAAAGTTTTGCTTGTAAATTAGAAGAGTCTTCTTTAATTGCACATTTTGTGTATTTCTTACATTCTTCAAGATTTCCTTTATTGTATTCTACTATTGCTTTCTGGTATAGCAAATAGGAATAACACCTACTGTGACTTTTACTTCCGGCGCTGAGATCAGTAGTGCTTTGATTAGTATCTGTGTCGTCATGATTCGAGTTTTCAACACTCAATATATCAGTATTCGTGTTGTCGGGATTTGTGCTGCTATTATCTGCGTTGCCAGGTTCAGCGTTGGCAGGATCTGTGTTGCTACTATTCGTGATGCCAGGGGTCGTATCAATAGTACCCATGTTATCGAAATGGTTGCTGCTACCAATGCTATCAGTTTTTGCATTGCTAGTATCTGCCTTAGTAGAATTTGCGTTGCCAGTGGCTGTATTGTCAGAATTTGTAGTGTTAGTAGCGGTGTTGTTAGGATTTGTACTACTAGTATCTGCGTTAACGGAATTTGCGTTTCTAGTGTCCGTATTGTCAGAATTTCTAGTTTTAGTATCCGTGTTATCAGGATTCGTATTGTTAGTATCCGTGTTAGAGTCCGTATTAATAGTGTTTGTGTTGTCAGAACGTATATTGCCTGTATCCATGTTATCAGTACTTGCATTGCTAGTCTCCGCGTTGTCAGAATCTGTATTGTTAGTATCTGCGTTGATGTTTCCATCATTGGTATTATTAGTATCCATTTCTCGAGGATGCGTGTTGTTAGTATTCAGGTTACCAGAATTTGTGTTTCCTGTGTCCGTGTTGCCAGCGTTCCTGCCGCTAGTATCTGGTTTGGTAGCTTTTATGTTTCTAGTGTTGTTTTCAATTCCCAGTGTGTCTTCCATATTGGTGTTCTTGCCTTTGAGGTCCATGTTGCCTGGATTTGTATTACTGATTACTTTCTTTCTGGGGTTATTGTTTATGGGAGTTGCTTCGAACTCTGTATCTGTAGGCCTAATATTCGTGTTAATAGGTCCAGTCGTGTCGCATGGTGATTTGTTGCGAGTACCATTGTTGTTAGTAGTCTTAGTCCTGGGATTCGTGTCACTTGAATTTTTGGTACCTGTATCTGTGAAACCAGTATTTATGGCACCATCATTTATGACATCTGTGATCATGGGATCGGCATTTGTGGCACTGGAAATTGTGGCACCAGGATTCATGGCAGCGGTAGTATCGACTCTAGGATGTGTGCCATTGGGATCCGGGATGGTGACATTGCGTGCTTCCCTTTCATTTGTTTCCCTTATATCGGTACTTGAATTCGTCTCACCTCTGTTACTAGAACCAGTAATGCTTAGACTTTCTTCTGCCATTACAAATATTTCGTCTGCTTTTTTATAATCTTCCATCTGGATATACAACTTCATTACCTCTCCCATAGTCATCATAATACCAGGGGTATACCTATCAGGATGATCCTCTTTAAGAAATGTGGTAAACCGTGTTAACTGATTTGTTGCTTCTTCTTCATCTCCCTCTATTAGTCGAAAGCTAGCCAATAGCACTATCGCGTGTAAATGCCGTTTGTTTTTCACTAAAACATTGTCCAATATACAAATAAGCTCCTTCAATTCATCATGTTCTTCGGGCATATGAAACCGAATCATCATTTGAACAAATGAAAATGAGTATTCTGGATTATCTTGGTACTTCTCTTTTGATTGTCGGAATTCCTCAATGCATTCGCGATACTGATTAAAACCTAATCGTGAAAGAGTATGCCCTTTGATGTAATGAATTATGGCTTCGAATCGCTTTAACCTACTATCCTCTTCATTTTTGGACCGAAGAATTTGCACATCTTTAACTTTATCTTCCGCACAATTCTTATCAACCCAGCCCTGCAGTAGATATGCAATAAAAAGGCAACCATCCTTTTCTGGCGAATCACCCCATTCTTTTACGATATCAATCGCTCTCTTAATGTGCAACTCTGCTGACTTTCTGTCCTTTTTATCGTTGAATTTGCTTATAAATAAGTAGCTTTTGAATAGAAGGCCTTCAAATTTCAGAGTTGGTAGTTCTACGTCTTCTGCATATTGCGTTTGTTTTTGTAGACGCTTAAATGCAGACGCACTGTGTACTGAATCATCTAGATTCCATGCTTGGTGACCATCAAATTGTTCTAGTCCTGGTTCTAAACTCAACGCTCCCATAGTTTCTAATAAAAGAAGAAAACAGTTACTGGTGTATTTTTTTGAATTTCTAGTTGGCCAGAAATAGCACTTAAATTTGAATAGGCCTATATTTTATTTTTTTTAAATAATTTTAACAAATTCAGGGGATGGTGGGCCGTCACTGTATTACTAAATTTGCTTAAAAGTTTGTCTTTATTTAGGCCTACGTGGTTTTTCATCGTCTATTTTAAAACTGGAAGCTGGAAGTACACATTTGAGGAATCTTGAACGTGACATGTAAATAATAACTGAACAGAACTGAACAGAAGAGCAATCTACATCGTTATCGTAGAGGCTGAATGTACAATACCGCTTTCATCAAGAGTACACAAAGTGTCAGCTAAAGCTTAGAAGCAAACAGGGAACCAATATCACTTTTTTCTTTGATTAAATCAGACATTAACAAAATAGTGAGACTATAAAGAAAATATGTTTTACTTATACTTTGTGCGTAATATAGGACTATACATTTAGTACCTGGGTTACGAACACCCCCATGCACCCACTGCTTTATAACTAC